GAGAGAGAGAGAGAGAGAGAGAGAGAGAGAGAGAGAGAGAGAGAGAGAGAGAGAGAGAGAGAGAGAGAGGCAAGCAATACCGACGCAGTAGGGTGTTGTGCCTAGTTGCAGATGCTGCTGCATGCCATGGGAATACTGGTCGATGAGCAAGTGAGTGTTGTCTTTTTTCAAGTTCCCCCCCCCCCCCTTAGCGGCTATTGATTTGCATGGGAGGAGTACATGCATTTTTCTTCCCGCGCCCTCTCCCTGCTTGTCCACCCTGAAGACCTTTTCCGTTCTGTTTCTTTGTGTTTCGCAGTTTATTTAGTTTTTTTGCAGACATGGCTGATGTCCATGTCTGGTAGGAAAGTGAGGGTGGGATGAACCAGATGGGGGAGTTGTAGAGTTTGGGCACGGCGGAGGTTTATGATGTGGATGAGGTGGTTTGGCGGCTTGCGTTTTGTAGCGGATTGGCAGAAGGTGCCTGGATGTATTTGCAATTTGGGAGTGATTTCCGTCTGGTTGAGCGCCTGCGCACAGGTGCATCTTCATCTACCCATCTATGAGGATATGTGCTGCTCAATTTCGCTTTCTTTTTTTTTTTTCAATTAACTTTTCTAGAGTCATTGTTTTGCTTTTTTCTTTTCTTTTTTCTTTGGTTGCTTTCCAGATGTGTATGTACTATGTAGTATGTACATGATTGATGGATGTCGTTGGCTGGGTCTGGCGTTGTTTTCTGGGAACCTTTTCCTGTCGTGTTTTGTGTTGGCCAGCTCCGTGGACACCCGCATTCGTGGTGGGTGGTAGTTATGCATTTTGTGTTGATGGACAAAGAAATATAACAAGCTGAATGCGGCATGTCTCACACTGACCTGTTGTTGAACGGATGGGCGTTTTTTCCTGTGTTCCCATCTTTTCCCCGTAAGACAAATTGCGGTCACTGTAGCTGCATTTTAGGGCAACTTTCAGTACAGCGATAATGGCACTGCAAAGACGGTCCTCCATTATTCCCTCTGCTGTACGTTCTGGTGCAGGGAAGACGGTAGTAGCGATGGATGGGCGATAACGGCGCTGCGATTTCTGTTGCGTTTGTGGGTGGTGTGCTGTTCCCTCTGCTGTGAATTCCTTTATCGATTTTGAGTTCTGGATTGGACCGGCTGTTCACCAATGTGCGCATATTATTTATCGGCGGCAGGCTCAGTGGAAGATTGCTATAGGCTATAGGTTGTCCTAAGGGTATTTCTCAGTGGAATATCTGCTATAGGTCGTCCGAAGGGTATGTCTCAGTGGAAGATCTGCTGTAGATTGTCCGATGGGTATGTCTCAGTGCAAGCTCTGCTATAGGTCGGCCTTAGGGTATGTATCAGTGGAAGAAGATCTGCTATCTTAGGTTGTCCGAACGGTATGTACAATGAAGTGTATCACATCTATCTCTTCACTTTGTTTCGCACAGTGTGCTCTTTTCGTTGGTAGATATTGGGTGATAAATTGATACTGCGATGATGCAATCCTTTCTGTTTACTTAGTGTGTAGAAGACGTTTGCCTTCTGTGCTTTTGTTGGTTGTTTTGCAGCGTAATAGGAGATGTTAGTCTTCTATGTTTTTGTCGTTTGTTTCGCAAAGTGGGCTCCTTTTAGGAGTTACCAACGCAATATATGTGACAATATATAGTCGCAGAGAACTGATTGGCGAAATCGTAGGCAGAAAGGCGAAGAAAAAGGACAAGAAACGTCGTCGCTGCGTCATGCGAAGGCTGTAGGAAAATCCCAGGGAGCTGCCCGGTGAACGGCAGGCCGAAACGGAGGAGAGGACACAAAACAGGGGACAGTGACAGACTGTTTCACCGCAGTTTCACTCTCTCATCAGGAGGTTCAACCCTCTAAAAAATATATGTACGAATTCACAAAGTACGGCGGTGGTCTGCCATGTGCCGGACATCAGTAAGAACCGAAAAGGCAAAGAGATCATTAGTATCACTCCCGGATACTAATTGTAATAAATTCTATTATTTTAATTCATATATTTATATCTGTATAATTGTATATGTACTATTATAAATTTATGATTTGTATATTATTAATTATTAGTCATATTTAGGATCAAACGAAAGACTGGAAGCATCGAAAGTACCGGCTTCTTCCCATCGTAAAATTTTATATGTACTGTTATAAATTTATGATTTAAATGTACTATTATAAATTTATGATTTGTACAAGTTTTTATGTACTATTATAAATGTACTATTATAATTTTATGATTTGTACAAGTTTGTATGTACTATTATAAATTTATGATCGCGATCTGTCGGAAAGGAGAAGCTGAAGAGAGCATCAGAGTCGCTGCTGAATAAGTATAGGTTATGACTGGGCATGCAAATTACTACCCTCCTCCCCTCATCACAACCTCTGGTCACTATGGTTAGCTGTATTTAGTGCAAGTTTTTGTACATATAAAATGGCCGGATGGTGTGTTTGGGGGAAGAAGGTAGTCCTTTCTTGAAACTGTTGTGCGGACAATCTGGTCTTCCTCGAGGCTATGGTTTTGCTTTTCGATTCGTTACCTTCTACTTTTGTCAAGGCGACACTTGTTCGTGTGACTTCATGTTTTTTTTTTCCTTTTCTTTTCTTTTCTTGTTTTTTGCAACTTCATGTTCTCTTCCTTTGGCTTGGTAATGACGTGTTCGAACCGTGTCTGATTTGTTATTAAAAAAAAAAGGAAGTAGGTGATCTTCTTCTAGGTCTATCTGGGGGGATGAGAAACTTTTTTTTTTTTTTTTTACATCAGTAATTATTTAACTAAACTTATTTTTCATTTTCATTTTATTATATTTTAGTGATCTGGTGTTTCTTACAGTTGGAAAAGAGATATCCTTGATGATGGAATTGCATGTCAGCTGTGGGAGATTTTAAATATCCATTATTTTAATATTTTTTGGTAATTGCTTTCCTAACTTTTTACCCTACTTGTGCTTATTCGATTCGAGGCTTTTTCGAGTTGCTGACCAATTGCGGGCGTCTAGAGTGCATGAGTGGTCTATGATTGTCCAGGTTCAAGGAACATGAAAGGGGCTCAAGAAATCGTTCACGCAACTTGATTTCGAAAGTAAGTATATTCTTTCTATCATTATTAATTTATTATTGTAATATTAATTCAGTTTTTAAATGTTAATTTTGTATTATGAAACGGTTTTCACCCTTTTGCAGTAGCGGATGTAGATCGCAGGGCTCGATCCCTAGACCTCACTACCTGTGTACAGTACCCCTGTGTGTGTTTGAACCCGTAACCTGTGTTTTACGAGCCAGTAGTAGTCTGTCTTGGACCTGTGTGTCTGTCGGGTCTTGAACCGTAGATCTGTCATGTAGGGGTCAAAGTTTGTAGTAGATGTCGTAGCTGTAGGAGTCCTGAAGGGTCAAGGTCGTAGCTGCTACATTCCTGAAAGGTCAAGGTCGTAGCTGCTACAGTTTCGAAAGGCCAAGTCCACAGCCTTCCAGCAGGTCCGGAAGTGGCCTTTCGAAGACTGCCCACAGCATACCAGAGGCAAGTGGGCAAGTGGTAAACCCACTGCACCGAGTCAGCAGTGCGACTGCACTGAGTTGGCGGTACCATCCCATGCAGTCAGTGGTGCCCAGTCCCAGTCTCCCCTAGTCCAGTCAGCAAGTACCATGCGGGACTGTGTGCACCAAGGGCCCGGTGGCAAAGGGCAGACCAGCCACGGACCAAAGTATAAATCAGGAGGCAGCGTCCAGCCATTCATTCATTCGCTGCGTAAGCCATGAGGAAGCGCTGCTACAGCGTCTTGTGCGAAGGTGGTCTGCAGGTTGCCCGAAGACGAAGTGGGCTGCAGGGAGATCATAGGCTTAGTTAGTAGTGGAAGTTAGGCCATAGCCGCTGCAGGAGGAAGTGAGACTAAGTGTGTGTGTGTGGTGGTATTCAGGGTGATCCAGAGTGAGCGTGTGTGACCAGTGGGGTTGGACACAGTGACGAAGGTTAGGATGTTCAGGCGCCGATGCGGCATAGCCTGTTGAAGTGAACTTGCATCTGAACTGTCTTCTTGATTTCCATATCTCTAAGCTTTGAGTGGGCGCCCTACGCCAGGTGAATCTCCATCTGTTTGCATGTATGTGAAGTGGAAGTGAAAGCGAGTCTGATTGCATTGGTATCGGAGCTGGTTCCCGTTACCCCACACGCCATAGCCGAGTTGCACCATTGGAGAAGGAAGTCCGCCATAGCTGCGCTGCGGAAGAAGGTGCCGTGTATCTGCACAGAAGGCAATGACGAAGAGAGAGAGAGAGAGAGAGAGAGAGAGAGAGAGAGAGAGAGAGAGAGAGAGAGAGAGAGAGAGAGAGAGCTGAGCGATACAAGACTGGTTGTGTGGTCCAAGAGGAAGTGGCGGCCATAGCTGCGGAGCTCGAATATGGAGTGGCGAAGAAGGAAGGATGAGACATAGCCGAGGAAGAAGGAAGAAGGGAAGTTGGTGAGGAAGAAAGTGCCGGCAGCCATAGCCGACTTGAGGGTTGACTTCGGTGTTGACCAAGAGTTGACCGGGTGTTGACCTGACAGGAGGGTTGACCAAGGTTTGATCGTGTTGACCAAGGTTTGACCGCGTTGACCAAGTGTTGACCAAGGCGTTGACCGGAGGTGTTGACCACGACGTTGACCAAGCTGGAGTTGGTATAATCTCGCCAGGCCCTTAGCCTATCCCCTCGCCCTATGGATGTACACTCACCCATGGTACTTGCTAAGTCTGAGTGTGTTTGTCTCTTCTTTCTGCATTGAGTCTCTTTTGTCCATGTGATAGGACTCCGTGTATGAAGGATAGGGCCTCGTCGACCAAACCCACATGGGCTGAGTAGGGCTAAAGGCTGTGTTTGACGATTCGACTGTCCCAGAGGACACGAACCCTCCCAAAGACCGGTACGGACCGGCCGGTTGCTTGGTGTGGCATGGTAGGCCCAAAATCCGAGCTGTGGGCTGCACAACTTGAGAGAACCTGCTGATCGCGTCGTCCTGTTTGCGACGTTAAAGAATTCCTGAGGAGTTACGGGGGATCTCCTTAAATGCCTCCTGATCAGCAATAGGTTCTGTAGTGACGGCTGTAGTTTAGAGTTCAAGCTAGAGACCATAGTTGTCGGGGTTCTATACGAATCCTGTGGTCCTTAGATCGAGTCGGTCTTAAGTTGGGTCAGTTGGGGGGAGACTCTAAGTGGTGAGGAGTGGAGCCGTCACTTGGTTGTGCGTCTATCACCATGGTTGACACGAATACCGGAACGAGCACCTCCCCTTACACAGCAAATCAGGATGCGAAAGCCCCCGCCATCCGGAAGGAGAGAAGGGAGAAGGAGGAGGCCAAGAAGAAGGCCTTGCTGGAGGAACAGGCGGCGAAGAAGAAGAAGGTTGAGGAAGAGATGGCAAAGGAGCTGGAGAGGTTGAAAAAGGATGAGGAAGAAAAACTTAAAGCGGTAGAGCCAGAAGAAGAGGTGGAAGAACAACCACTGGAGAGGAGAAGGACAAGATGAAGAGGAGAATCCAATGGTGTGAAGGAAGACCCGTTGGAGATTACGGAATGGGTGGCCAATTTATCCCTAGGAGAAGAGGAGGCGACATTAATGTATGTAACCAGCGGCCATGAAAGAGTGGGCTGGGATTCAGGGACTTCGCGCGTGAGTTAGTGATGCAGGTGGGCTCAGAGGTGAAGGCCCGCCTAGAGAACACAAAGCGTTATTGCACGGGCGCCATGCGCCAGGCTGGCTGCACCCAAGGAAGAAGAAGCACGTCCTCATAGGGAGCCTGTTAAAGTGAAGTTCCTGGACTCGTATATTGGAAAGAAGGAGGAGAACTTCGACAATTGGGAAGCCAATATTAAAACGTATGTGCACTTGCAGAAAGTCGCCCCAGACGAACACGTCCTGATAACTATCCGCGCTCTTAGGGAGGAAGCAGCAAGCTTCGCCTGTGCCCTGTGTCGCGCGGCCAATTGCAACGATGACTTAGTTGCGTATTCAGCGTTTACCCCTCTTTGCGATTTCCTTAAGTTATTGAGAGAACGGTTTGTAGATGTTACCCGTAGTGTGAAAGCCTCAGATAAGCTGCAAACCATCCATTCCCGCCAATGGAAGAGTGCCAGGGCACTCAAAGGTGGCATGGACGAGTTAGTCGCCGTTCCTGACCATGGGGTCACTGAGACCCAATTGATCAACCTCTTCTATCGTGCCATGTCCGAACAGCTACGCGGGCATTTCTTTGAAAGAGTCAGCAGCCTACCATGACCTATGATGCTTTGAGCAGGGAAGTGGTAGCGTTCGAAGCGCGATCCATGTGAGTCTCCGCTTTCTGGCACAAGGACCTGGAAAAGGGCAAAAAATGGAAAGGTCGTACCATCTCGGGTAAGGTCAAGACAAAGGATCACCTGATCCTTACATTAGATGAAGGT